GGGGGGTCTATGGGATTGACTCCCTTTTGGAGCCAGTCTCTAGCAACCAGTCGATGAATTGCAGTTTAAGTCAGTTCCGTGTTGGTTTCAACAGAGAGACCGGAAGGTTGCCGCTTGGAAAAAACAAGGCTGGAAAAGGAACTTTATTTTCCATTGAGGTGTTTATGCATGCACATGGCTTGAGAAGCAGGACGGTTTGGCAGAGCCTTGAGCTCGGTGCATGTGAGGTTGGCGTGGGAGGAGAGAAGCAGGGAAAAATATACAGACCTGAAGAGACGGGATGAGAGAGAGAGAGAGAATAAAAATGAGAGTGAAAAAAGAAAGAGAGGTAGGCAGAAAAGAGTAGAGGGAGTGAAGAGCTAGTGATTCAACCACAACACAACGAAACTGGGGCCTGGGGAGAACGAGCATTTACGTTTGCGTACATATGGCCAGAGACGCACAACCTAATGCAAATGTACTGACTAAAAGCTGCTGTGCTCTTTACCACAGGCATTCTGGAAGTTATTGTAGACTAGACTAAAAATAAGACGTCTTTTATGTCGACATATGCTTGCACATGGGGAAGTACAGCAGGAGGAGCACAAATTCATGGACGGCTTTACTTGTGAAATCACAGTGCTACAGAAAGCACCGTAATGACCTTTGTGACAGGATGCATCCATATAGCATCATTTTACACTTAAATTTGAAATCTTTCCACAGACCTTCTTCCCACACGTTCCCAGGTGCCCGTTCCCTGGGTCATCCTCTCTTTCGCTTCCCTACTCTTCCCTCTGGCAGCCCACTCGTAAGGCCTGTTGCGTAATGCCACCAGTCTGTTCAATTATTGAGAGCTCTTCCATTTCTCCATTGTTCGGGTGGAAATCAGTGAGCAGATCTTTGTGAAACCAAACCCTTGTGAATGGGCTTTGTCCTCCAAGCTCCCCCTTACCTAATCTAACCTGACAACAACTAGTGGATTGATTGATTGATTGACTGATTGATTGAACCAATGGGCTGGCTTTGATTCAAGCAGTGGAGCTCTACTCGTCTCAGCCTACAGTATACAAATACTGTTATCAGAGCTCATCTGGGCCAGACAACGAACATGTTAGGTCACAACCTTATAAGATAAAACTTTTAATTATGTTACATTAAACATTGAAACTTGTGTTTTTACACATCACAGCTTTTAAGCGCAGTTAAAGTCCATGAAGAAGCACAAAGTCCACCAAAAAGACCTCTACACTTGGATACACATAGCCTTCAATAGCTCATCAGGTTTCATTTTCCATGGCCTATGTTCATGTTATCACACTGGATCTACATTATCTAAAATGTTAAAAAAAAAAAAATTT